ATATATACACATTTCAATCTACTTTTTTTTTGCTTTCACAAATGTTACTATTTATTAACAGCTAGTTTTTACAATAAGAAATACATAATGTCAGTTAATGATCTCTACTAAGGTTGGCCTATAAATGAACAGGTGATCTGGTGTCTGGTGGCACCGATAAAGTGATTCTGGATGGCTGTAATCTGTACTACAAGACTGGAGATAGAAGCCTGTTTGGGAAGTTCTGAGTAAGGAGATAGCAGTGATCTTCGATGGTACTACATGAAGGCTGAATTTGAACTGGTGCCCGAGATTGGAAAACTGAGCAATCAGGTCCTTTAATGGGGGACACACTAGCTAAACCGCCAGTTTAGACACACCAGAGGATAGGGTTCCATTGTTTGATCTGGGTTTGATTTGAGGGATCAAATATAGTATAGTGGACACCATCGGCAAAATTTCCGAAAGCCACATCACGTGATCACATGATGTGGCATTAGTGGCTTATATTTCACATAATTGCAATAAGCTATAATAGCCACTTTGTGTAATCATGTAACCAGTTCGAAAAGCTTGTAATTTAACCAAATTCAGAAAACACAAAATTGAAAGTTAAAATAGGCCGGAATTGATAATTAATGTCAACTCATATAATAATCTTAATGCTCCTAGTTTACAAGTTAAAGTATGCATCTATATTAACCAATATTTGAAGAATGACAGATTTTTTATTTATCTGCTTTAATCTGCGCATGTTGATAAAATAAGATCATATTCGAATACTAAATTATTGAAATTAATAAATGCCAGATAGTAATATATTATTTATTTGTAGAATCAAGGAAATTAGTGAGTGGGTTAGATGTTATATTGTGGGTTGGAGTTTAGTTTGGAATTGATCCAAAATATATTTAGCAAGTTTATAAACAAAATATAAAGGTAATATGCATGGAGGTAATTTAGTTTTAGACATAATATAAAATCTTGCAATAATACTTTAACAAAATTCTAAAATAACTACCCATTTTATGTTAATTATAGATCTGGTCAATTTGGGTAGATTTTGTTTGTTAGAATTTTAACCCAGTTACATAAGATATATAGTAATACATAGATAATATTTTTCATATATATCATACTTTTCAGATCTAAAACAACATCATCTAATGACTAGGAATTAAACTTCTCAGAGTTTGATATTCATAATGATTTCATGTTATTCTATTATATGCTGTTAGTTTGGCATATTTTGGCATTAATTTTGATATGAAACCGCTAAAGTATATCAATAGTTTTATCAAAAATCAATACAAAATATGCTATAATAATTTCTACAGCATGTAAACTTCATTCTTTTTAAAGAAATTTGATACTTCAATATGACTTCATCTTTTATCTTTAACTAAATAAATTTCAATTTTTTTACTTAAAATTTAATATACATGGGTTGATTAGCTATTGTATAATTATTATTTAATATATGAATCTTATAAATATATATTTAAATACATACATACCATATATTCTTTTTAAATAAAAATGTTGCTGCCACTTAAATCATTACAACCTATTCTTTTAAATGAAAAAAGTTGTATCAATTATTTGATCGAAAAAGGAGTTCTTGATATCAATCAATATGTAATTCATGTGGTAGCTTAGCAAAAAGATACAAAAAAGTATTTAAATATAGAAGAAAGCGATGTAGAACATCTGTCTCTATATTTAAAGATACATTTTTTTCAAAGCGCAAATTAAAAGTTAATGAGATTCTTCAAATTGGATATTATTGGTTAGCAAAAACTCCACATATCTCAATTAAAAACATTACAGGACACTCACCAAATACTATAACATATTATACTAATCGTTTTAGGTATAAAAAAAAAAAATGAATTACCAGTTTTTACTTGGCAATATTCATATATTAATTTTTTAACAATTTCAAATCTAATAATAGAGCACTTGTTGGTCTTAATCTTCAAGAAACACATGACAAAATCAGAGGTCCAGAAATCATAGTTGAAATTGATGAAACTAAGATTAGAAAAAGGAAACATAATTATGGTCACCATGTAAAAGGTTATAGTTTAAAAGATTTTACTTTATTTCTATATTTAAATATTAAATATATATATATTAATCTTTTCTTTTCTAGATGTTTGGGTATTTGGTGGTGTAGAATGGACTACTGAAAGAAAAATATTTGCCAAGGTTGTTAGCAATAGAACTGCTAAAACATTGCTTACTGCAATAGAGGAAAATATTAGCTCTGGATCTATAATATACTTAGATATGTGGTGCTCCTACTTTAGAATAAATTCCGAATTGGGATTTTAACACCATATAGTTAATCATAGTCTCTATTATATTGACCCCAATACGGGTGTTTATACTAATACTATAGAGAGAACATGGAATGAGATTAAACTCCAGGTTCACCCAAGAAATCATACTGAATCAGAAATTCCAGGTAGGGTTATATAATTACTGTGAGAATTTATTTACAAAACTTATAAAAATTGTAACTTTGCAATATATATAACTATAATTCTAGACCATTTACATGATTATATATAGAGAAGACAAAATGAAGGTAATAATCTTTGGGAAATTATGATAAATTGCTTAAGAGATACTATATTTCCCGAAGAAGAAGAAAAATGAGATGAAATTAAGAATATAGAAGAAATGATGAACGGAGAAGAAATAAATGAAGGAGAAGAAAAAGATAAAGAGAAAGAAAGGGAAGATAGTGTTGAAAAAATAGAAAATAATAATAATAATAATATAGAAATCATAGAAATTATGAGCGATGATAATATAGAAAACATAGAAATTGAAAGTGATAATAATATATAAATTGGTAAAACAAAATTCATATCTGAAAATATTAATACAATAATTGAACATGCAGAGAAAAAATCTAAGCTTTATTATTGATTCAAATTCTAAGCACAGTATAATGAAGCACAATATCACATATAAATAATGTTATATACTACTTGTTAAGTAGGCAATGATTATTAATTATACTTTATTCTTTGATTATAATATACAATATGTAGTTAATATTAGTTTGTATTAGTATTATTATTAATATCTACTATAATTACTGTAAATTATGTGTATTACATGCATTTGTTATTGTAAAAACTAGCTGTTAATAAATAGTAACATTTGTGAAAGCAAAAAAAAAGTAGATTGAAATGTGTATATAT